CTGAGAGCACTTTCTCCTCGCTCTCTCGGACATGCAACGCGAGAGTGACCGTAGTTTAAAAACCAGTGAAAAACTTACCTCAGTGACATATACGCAAGAATCAAACGTCTTAAAAAGAATCGAGAATATATACTGTAGTGCCGATGTCCTTTGTATATTTTCCATGATATTGTAAATAGATATATAAATATATATATATATATATAATCTTTCTTCTTATTCGTTTACCACACACATGTTATAAACTAATTTCTAATTGGTACAATTGAACTGATTATATTCTGTGCAGAAGAGTCTCCTGTTCGAGGAAAGAAAAGAAAAATTGATGATGTGGGAGAGAACGCTTAAGATGGAGGGCTGTCTCTGATATTGTTGAATGAGTGTAAAATTCATATAAATAATAACAATAATTGCGACGCCGAGTGAACAGCTGGGAATCAAACTAATTGACCGACCAATGACAGACTACAGTTAGTGATATGAATTTATCAGTAAATCATTGACTGCGAGGAAATTGTCTGTGTAACAACAAAAAATTTATCGTACGGTAGAGGATACGGAATGTGAATGGATGTGGAAGGTGTGAGAAAAACTAGGAAGGATAATGATGGCATAAAAATAGGGCTGCATTCCAGCTGGACACAGCACAGTTTTAGTTATACTAACGATATTTTATATAGAGTATATAGAGTTAGAGAGTATTAGTGGTGTTGCATAAAGTGGAAAGAAGATCGTGGAGAGAAAGCTTGAGAGAAAGAGAAAAAGGGCGAGAGAGTGAGTGAGAGAGAGAGAGAGAGAGAGAGAGAGCGCGTGTGTATGCGCGTGCGAAAGAGGCGAAAATAGATTGCGGGAGGTAGCGGAGTTTTACACTCGAAGGAGCATCTTGTCTGTTAGCTCCAGTCGGCCAAAGGCTGGTCACGCTGGAATGCGGTCATCGTTAATCAGTAATAAGGTTACATAAGTTACATTTTAAATACATTATTATTGTACCGTGAGTAAGTATAGAGTAAATGAGGAACAACTTTTGTACAGGTTTACACCATACATCGAGGTGCATTATATGCCTCTGTGATTTTTGGGACAGAAAATAAAGAGAGAAATATATGTTACTCGTATACGTGAGCGTATATATCTGACGAGGATGGGATGGGGATTGAGGAAGAAGTACGCGTTAAAGCGAAAAACAAAAAAACAATGCAGAATAATCGCTGAATGATAGCGAATTATGCACGTTCTCCGCGAGAACGTTCTACACTACGGAGATCTCTGATATTAATGAGAAACGGATAGCGAATAGAAAATATCGTAATATTTATATTATTGTTTTCAATCGCGTGATTCCGATGGCAGAAGAGCGAGAGTTAGATCGTTTATATCCAGATGTGTGGGACACAAAAATCTCCGATACACCTCGATCGACGTGTCGAGCGTTGCACGTAAACGCGACCCCGGTGTTATCTTAACTTAGACTTTTTTCTAGTAAGTTTTAAGTTCCAGATATTCTATGTACAACGGCAATCGGCCGCCCGGCACATGGCTGTTAAGATTATTGTTATTTACTCTCGGGCATTGCGGAAATGTTGTGCTCTAATATAACGTAAAAGAATCAACTTGATTATTCTCTCACTTTTGAAGACAATTGTATAGTTGTATAATTCTATTCTTTTTTGTCTGTTTTTTTATATGTATGTATATAAGGCATCACAGATTTATCGTATTTTCTTTTATCTGTACACAATTATATACATTCTATAAATATGAAGTTAATAATATTTTTTGACAGAACAAAATATAGAAAAAAGAGAAACAGGAAATTATGAAGAAATATCTTTGTTTTATTTTAAACAAAAGTTTTTTCTAATGGAAATTTAATATAATTTGACTCCAAGTGTTTGATATGATGATACTAAAATAGGAGAATTTGTGATGAATAATAAATTTCCATTAAGATGAAAAAGTTAAATATATATTATTATTTCTAATGGAAGGAAGATACGGTAATTCTAGGACATCTTGTATATGCCAAAGCATAAATTATATTGATTATGTGATTAATTTCTATATAATATTATATAATCTACAGTAGAGGCCTCAGTCTTTGGAACGAATTACTAAGGAAACAAAAGTCAACATCGTGTGCGTCAAATTATTAACCTTTAATTTCTGTCTCTGAAGTTACTATTGCGCTGATACATTTCGTGATGAATAATGAAGTGCGAAGTTTAGAGATAATGAAGATTCATCAATATATTATGATTAACATTAAAAATTACGAGTATGATTTTAAGAAACAAAATATTTACACTTGCGCTTTCGCACTTTTAAATTGTACTAAAGTCAAAAGATCTGTTTTTTATTCCTGCGCTCTCTGAACTGGTGCACGGTACAATAAGTTGAAGTGAAACAAATATACGTTTGTTTCACTTCAATTTATTGCAGTGTGTGCACCAGTTCAGAGATTACAGGAATAAAGAACAGATCTCATAACGCAAAATTAGATTTAGGGCAAGAACAAAAAAAATGTGAAAAAGAGACACATTTAATAAGATAGGCGCAAGATAAAGGAACTCGCAGGATGAATCAGACGATGTAGTTAATGATGAGACTACGACAAGTAGACTGGGATAATTAACTACGTAATCGTTTAAGAATGGATAGGAGTACAGTGGCGAGTGAAAAAAATGAGGGGGAGAGAGAGAGAGAGAGAGAGAGAGAGAGAGACGATCAGTTTTATAAGAAAAAAAGAATAAAAAAAATAATTATGCGGTAGTATCGAGAGGACCTGGCGCCTCCTTGTCGCCAGTTTGGTTATGGCCTTATCCAATTTTTCCAAGACTAAAAGCAAATTTATATTAGGTACAATGAGTATATGTGAACATGTACAGGTCCAAATCTGTAAATTTCCAATCTGCAATTTGTAATTGCGGCTCGCGCGGAAGCGTTTATTAAGCGTTAAATTATAAATATAATTAAGAATTTAAATTATAAATAATTGAAAACACATTCCGCGCGCCCCGCGACACATGTGTAAACACATACATACACACACATACACACGTAACACACTTTTGTCAATTGCGATTTTGGATAGACCATTTAAGTAAGGGAAAAAGAAAATTTATCTATCACCTTCTATTACCAGATATATTACATCTGTGTATTGTCTGTCTGTTCCGTTGTTAAAATGGATTTTTATCATAACGTTTGTTTATTTCGAGCAATCCTCATTACACAAAATAAGAAAAGATAATTTATTAATAAAACCATTTACAAATCAACGATGGTGTATCCGATATGTATTGACAAGTGAACCTAATTTTTGCACTTGTTTTTTTTTTACTGCGCTTTCGGCGTTATTAATACAAATGTTTTTTTTTTTTTTTTTTTTTTTTCATTATATTACTTATAAGTTATTTTTAGATAATTAATTTTTCAGGAAATATCTTTTATATATTTATTCGAACTCGCCGATTATCTCAACTACGAGCCTTGAACTCGCTGTATCAATCGAATATATATAGATATAAGTGAAAGTATATATAACTAAAGATACGATATTTTAAGGAAAAATATTTCATAATTGATCTGTAATTTGTTTCCAATTATAATTATACTTTATTGCTTCTAAATTTAGCAATGTATCCTATAAAGTACGTACAACATAGATTTTCTCGCGTAGACTTATTATTTCTAGTTATATTCCTTGAAACTTAGAAATCTAGATCAAACAAATTCCTATTTACTTTTTATCTCTAATTGGTTTTTCGTTTTACAGATGCGAGTATCCGTCTGGAAGTACATACGTCGCTAGGATTAAGGCTGAAGTTTCGGATGAAAAATTCCAACAAATTGCAGATCGATAGATATTCTAGTTTCAAATAAAATAAAGCCAATAATAGATGTTTGAGTAGATTGAAAACTTCGAGCGGAAATAATGTTTGTTGCCGAATATTCGAAAAAGGGCATATCGCTTTTTTCATAAATAACACAACTAAAAAACTAAGTTTCTCAGAAAAGGGGAAAAATTATTTTCCATCTTGACGGAAAATAATTTTTCCCCTTACTATGATTAATAATATCAAATAATATCGACAAAAGTGATATACTTTTAACATCAAATATCACTTGTCATTTTCCTTTCACAATTCTTAAAAACTTGATTTTTTTTTAACTACTCTTTTTGAGTTGTAACGATTTTTTATGAATGTAAAATTTAAATATTAATCGGGCTCTCGAAATTAAAAACTATAATAGAGTGTATCGGGCAATGAGAACATCTACACAACACGGGAATTGGTGTGCAATAAAATATAATTATCAAATAATATTTACATAATATAAGGATGTACAATGATTTGCTGAAAATGGTTTGAAAAAAATCGAACCGTCCAAATATTATACTGACAATCATTATATCTTTATATTGTATAAATATTTTTTATGCGTTATGTTGATGCTCTCATTGCCCGATACACTCTATTTTTTATGAAGTTTAGTTAATGTTTACTTAATTATTGCCGATAAACACTTTAATTTTTTTTTTATTAGCTATACAGTTCAGAATATTGAAACTATGTGATTATAATACAAACAATTGTAATGATTAAGTATGTAATTCTAAAATAATTTTTTAACTGAAAATCAGTATAGAATTATCAAATTAACATTTTCGGCAATTCAAGCGGCACATTGGTGTTAATTCATTTATAGTAATGACTTGATAATCACGTTTTTTTATTTTTGTTGTTTTTGAAGAGAGCGATATTCTTTTATTTTAGACACAGAGTTGGATTTGACAATTGGGATATGATATACTTGCAAGAGATTGCAATTGGATCTTTAGATTAAAGAATTTTCGAATGCGATGAAAATTGTATCACCAGTATTCACAGAATAGTGTTTATTTATAGTCCGTTCTTATTTAAAGATCATCTCAAATAATGTCTTAAGATGCTGATGCTGATGTGGCCCTCTGATTGGTTCGTAACACTTTAAGACTGTACTTGATATCTATCAACTACGAAACCGACTCCTGATTGACTTACGACATCTTAAGGGCTATGGCACACAAAAACACTTAACAGTAAAATGTGAGCAGTAAGCGAATTGACCAATCACAATAGAATTCATAAGGCCATAACGTACGTAGTAGCCAATCCAACATGTTGATTTTCTTACTGCTTACGTCTTACTGTCTCAAGTTTTTTGTGTGCCATAGTCCTAAAACTGTACTTAAGACAATCTCAAATATAAGAATCAACTATAAATACTCATAGTCATAGTCCATTCTTATTTTAAAACCGTCTCAAGTAATGTCTTAAGATGATAATACGGCATTCTGGCTATTGGTAGTCGATTTTTATATTGAAGACTGTCTTAAGTTTCAAGAAGTCACGAACCAATTAGAGGATCATATTAGCGTCTCAAGACATTACTTAAAACAATCTTGTAATAAGAACAGATTATAGTAGAGTAATGGCCTCTAATTGATTCCTGACATCTTAAGATTGTATTTAAGATAGTCTTGAATATAAGAATCGATTATAAATACGGGCCTAAATTTCCATGCAGGTTGAAACGAAACGATTTTGCGCGCGCCAATATGGCTGCCGGCAACTCTGCGGCGTCTGCGCGACAGTTGGTGCGTGGCAACATGGCCGCCGGCAGCACAGATCCGCGCCATCCCGTCCCGGACTGTCCCCGTCCCCCCCCCCGTGATTCCCGACTCCCACGACTCCCGTGCGCCGTCGCACTCTTCGGTGACTTCAGAGTTCAGTCAGTTCAGTTCCTCTCCGCGTCTCGACACGAGCGTTTTGATCCCGTGAGTTGGTGTGTCGCTGCTTCGGCTTCCTCCTTTCCTGCGTCAAACTGCGAGCCATCGTTGCGTCGACAAGTTGAGAGAGTTTTTTTTAAGTGCTTCGCCTCTCCCGCATCCGCAACCGACGCTACGGGAACATCATGGCTGAGAGCAAGGGCGCGTTAATCGCGAAAACAGTGCAGAAACACGCGGGCAGAGCGAAAGAGAAGGTAAGCGCACGCTGTGTGTATCTCTCATGCGTGATGTCCCTCTCTCTTTTTTTTAACAGATCGCTTTTCTCAAGCACTCTCGCGAGCCTCCTTCGTCCTCGCGAAATTAACACAAGAATTTGCAGGTAACCGAAGTTGACCATAACCTCCTTGACGTGTTTCTCGACTAGACGCCGCCGATACTCCGCTAACTCCGCCAACGTCGGAGGGGTTAACGTTTCGCGTCACCACCGCGTGACAATTGCATCGTGCCTCGCAATTAAATCTCTTCGACTCTTTAAATTAAGCTCCAGATAACATAGCCAGTTGTATATCAATTTTACACATTCACTAAATTTTGTCCTACATTTATTTGAATAATTATGCATGTCGTAAATTTATAACGTAATTAGACTCGTAAAGCTGGAGAGCAAATTTCAATACTTAATGGTTTATAAAATTAATGTCAACAATTTTTTTCCTAAGTACAAATTAAATACATTTCGATTTACTTAGTCTCAGTTTCTCAGTTTATATCTAATAATTATAATTCTCTTCTTTTAATAATAATTCTTAACGACTATGTACTTCAATATAGACACTCTTTTGAATTTCGTCATTAGATATTATATCAAATGAAGAAAATATTGTGATTATTCTAAACTGAGGAAGATTAAGTAAATATATATTTAATTTGTATTTAGGAAACAAAATTGTTGAAATATTAATTACTGCCTGTTGTGCATGTCATGTGTAATAATTCAATACTTGTTAACGTTGGCGTATCGTCTGGAGTTACCTTTAAAGGAAATCGCTATCCAGAAAGTAGAATCGTGATTTCTCTGCCGATATGAAAAATTTGTGCGATTTATGAGGGAGATAAGAAAAGTGTACGTCAATGTCTCATTTGCTTGACTCGCGAGTCTCGTGACATGGAAATGTTTCGCCGAGGTTTCTTCGTCGCGATATATCAATCGGATATTCTGTCATTTGCATAGAATTGCTCGCGACGTTGCTGCAATATTGATGAGTGATTTTATAAATTCAAGCTCATCAATATTATAAAATTAAAAGGTCGAAGAACGACGAATGATAACGACTAGATTCGTGTCCAAGTGAATTTCGATTAGCGATGAGAAAATATTTAAAAAATAAAGGTAATTTTCTCCAGCAAATTTTCTACCAGCACATCTCGTAGAAGAAAACGGAGCAAAAATATTTTCGGCCAAGTGTATACGATAAACAAATTGTCGGTCAACTGTTGTGTTTATTAAAATCCTTGGCAGGTATACGTAACTGCGCGATGACATGAGGACGGCACAGTTTTAATTGTAAATGACATAACAGTCGACTGATACTTCAGGTGCGATCCATTTGGTGCTACAAATGCTTCGTTGATTAATCAGAAGACAAAATTTACCAATCAACTGACCAATCAAAGGATGTTTCGAAACATTTGTAGTATTAAATAGATCACACCCTTTGTTTATTATCGAATTCAGTCACTTCACTGAGAAAAATGATTGAAAATGGACGAATACAAAATTCTGATTCGTCCATTTTCAATCAAAATTTTAATTAGTTTAAAATAGACTTTTTCTCACAGTTGCATTTTATTACATTAGTGTGTACTGAAAACGACTACTATACGTGAAATTAACATTTAAATATTTTAAGTCCGTTCTTCATTTACTGGTTAACTTGTGATTAGGCTTAATGTAAAAATTGTGTTTTTCTATCTATTACTCAATAAATTTTAGATTAGTGCATATTGAAGTGGTTATACGTGAAATTGAGCATATAAATTTTTTGGCTCTAGTTTTCTATTTGTTGGATAACTTGTGATTAAACTTAAGATAATAATGTAAAAATTATCTTTTTCTATCTATGATTAATCAATAAACTGAAAAAAATGTCTGGTCGAAAATGAAAAAACCAGAAAATTTAGATTATATCAATCAGATCATTCCGGTTATATATCTCAGCTAGAATTCGACAGTAGATTTAAACAGAAATTTTTTATTTGTCCATTTTTAATCAGAACTCCAATTAATTCAATCAGACATTTTTCTTACAATTTTGTTAACGTGATCATTTTGTAATATATAACTTTCGGAATTATCACCGTTGGTTTAAAACGAGCGTTTTTAAAAAGTTCTGATACGATAATATTGTCAACAAAAATATCGAGTTTTTGCGATATATATTTATATATTTAAACACAGTTAGAAGATTAATTGGTTAGACGAACATTATTTTTACATTCTCGTCAAGTTAAATAAAGTTACATCTACTAAACCAGACAAGTTGACCAGATAATAAAAACCGGGTCTTAAACGATTAAATACTTATTAATAATATTATCATATTTTTAACGGAATATATATATATATATATATATGTGTGTGTGTATTTCATTGTGTGATTATTTCATTGTCAAAGTTGATCATATTATGCCACTTTATTCAGGTATATCATAAAAAAACAGCCTTTAACGTGTATTAATCAATTGTAATGTGATTGATCGAATTTATATTTATCGTTTCAGGATCGAGTGTGTGTGTGTATCTTGAATCGAGGTGGAAATTACAAATGTGAACAAAACTAGG